CAATTTGAAGAGAAATAAAATGTATCTCTCTCCCCCAAATTCTTTGGCTATATATTTTGTTGTTTTGGCATTTTATTATTATATTATAATGTTATCAACACGGGTATCTGTCTTGAGTATTCACTTTAGCCTGGAGCACTCTTAAAAAGATATGAGGTAAGAATTTTTTTTTAAAAAAATTGAAAGATGTATTACTTAGCTGGAGGAATGAAATTCCTTTGGTGATATTGTTTCTCCTAATATTTGCAAAATAAGAATGAAGTGAATATGATTCAATGAAGATAAAAGCTTAGCATTTGTTGATATTTATGTCTTTGCTAATAATGGTATCGAGTTTACTTATGGATCTGAAGAACGACTTATTGATTCACTTGGCAATTCATGTCTTATATTTGTTTCAGAAGAATAATATTGTGAACTCACTATGGATAAAAAATATGAAAGGTTACACAATTTGTATTATAAATATAAGCATGATGAAATTACATGCTACAACAAACTAGAAGTTTGCTGATGTAAAATTCCAGACATAGTAATCTTGAAGTTTACTAAAATAAATAGCATACCACGGTAAATTTGAAGTTTACTATTACAGATAATTTTATCAGTTGACATGACCATTTTGATTGTCCTAATTTTGATATAATATGCTAATTGAATATCATATGTTGAAGAATTGAAAGATTTTTCAATAATTTTTTTATGTTGCTTGTTCTCATGATAAGTTGTTTACACTAGCTAATGTTGGAATTAAATTTTCTAAATTCTGAAAAGTATAAAAGGTGAATATGGGTCTGTTCACCTATCATGTGAAATCTTAAAAATAGACGCATCTATAAGATGGTCACATGTGTGTTTATTGTCAACTTGCAATTTGACATTCACAAAGTTGCTTGTTCAATGTTAATTGGGTTAAGAGCACAATTTTCACATTGTTTAATCAAGAAAATTCATCTTGACAATGTTGGTTTATATCCAAGCTAGTTTGGTGTTTAAAACCTCTAATATATAGTTGAACCATTGCACATGAGATCAAAGTTTCATGTATTGGTTTGAGATATGATATATTGCATACAATAACACTTGTATGCCACTGACCAATAAATTATAATCAATTTTCCCCTCTCAATTGATTTAGAGTCAGAAAATAAATATTTTTCATCTAATAACTTTTGATGTATGGTATATGAGTAATGAATATACCATAATAGACAAAGATGGATTCTCCCATAAAGATTGGGCATAAATATTAGTCTTTTTAATATAAGAAGGAGAGAATAAACGGCTAACAAATATATTTTGAATTAATATCAGTATGATCCTCATTCAAAAGATAATTCAGGTCAAGTGCTAGAAGCATTTGCTGACCCAAAATTAATATCATACTTCAGTTACAAATGCTCCTATTGATTGTCCTTGAAGGACAAAGTCTACTGCATGAATACACCATGATAGACCAAACCAATTGGTTCCCCACACAATAATTCTTGAAAAGAGAGGAGCAAATAATCATAATAAGAAGGTAATGTGCTCTAAAGAGCCTACGACATAATACTTCATGAAACCTTATGAGAGATTCAGGTACCTAAAAATAATGAAGTGATGAGATTGCAGTAAGTTATGTTGCATTACAAATCGATACAAAATGAATATCTCCTTGATGATATCTTTTGTATAATATTGTGCGCCATTGTAAAAAATTGTGAAGATCTGAATTCTACATCTGCTAAAGCATGCTGACTTAGAAATGATTATCAAGTGGAGTGATGCATCTTGATAAGCATATAGCTTATTTAACTTGCAATCCACATACTAAAAGATGTCATATTTTAAATACTAATGAATGTTGTCACTTGAAAAAATTTATATGAAAATCTTCTTCAGGATTCAATATGCCTGAAGCATATACATGTTCTTGGAAAACTTTTCTATAATCCTTATATGTTATAAATTTGTTTATAATAATGATGTGTTGTGAGTTTACAACACTTTCGATGCTCAAAACTAAGAAAATAACATGGATTTAGGTATATTTATATGGATATAAGACACTTTTTCTTTGATAACAGGATAAATAGGTGTTGGAGAAAGAATGTGCAAAAGATAGCCTGAAAGTGCAGAAAATACACTTAAGTCACAATTTTCAGTATGAGCCGTAGGATGGTGCTACGAGTTGTACTACAGGTCGTGAGAAGTTTCAAAAGGCTAAGGATGACGAGTGCATCATACGACTCTCAGTAGGAGTCGTACAATGTTTGTACGGGCCGTAGTGTAGAAGTCGTGGAAAGATTCAGAAGATTTGCATAAGAGGCTGACTCCTGATACGGATAGACAGTACGAGTCG